CAATATATATATATGTATGCAGAGAAGCACGCCAAATGTGGCATATAAATCTTATTATGATCTATCTCTTCACACGCACACATAGACCCACATGTGTGCGTGTGTGTGTGGGTAGGGGGAAAAAAAGGGGGTTTGGCCTTGGTTTGTTCACGCTGGCAGCGGCCGCTAAATCTATTTCTTGTGCTCCGCATAGATTTCCTCAATCTTTTTCCTGCGCTTCGTTAACAGCGGATTGTTGGACTTGTCCAGCGCCTTGATTTGCATCTGGAATAGGAAGGGAGAGAGATTAGAGAAGTGCCGCGCCTTGACGTATTGCACGCTAGCTTACTTGATCGTAGTCCACTCGCATGGTGGCCAGCGATCGCGTCATCTCCTCCTGCACCTCCGGCCAGGTCTCCTCCCCCTCCTTGAGCATGCGGCCGGTGCAGAGTGGCGTCTGCGGCACCGCATCGTACTGGGCTATCCACTTGTTGCGCAGCACATCCTCGATGCGCAGCCGCTTGCTGGGATCCACATTGAGCATGCCCTTGATCAGATCCTTGGCCGCCTGGCTGACGTTCGTCCACTCGGGGTCGGGGAAGTCGTACTGGCCCGACCGTATGCGCTTCTTCATGCCCGGCGATATGGAGAGTCCGTTGATGCTGTAGAACGGCGGAAAGCCGCACATGATGATGTACATGACCACGCCCAGCGACCAGATGTCGCAGCTCTTGTCATACTTCTGCGGGCCGAGCACTTCCGGAGCTAAGGCGACGAACGGGAGAGATCATTCAATGAAACATTTAAAGGGGCACGATCAGGATAGACGCACTGACCCACATAGTACGGCGTATAGCAGGGCGTCTGTAGGGTGTCGTTGGTGAACGTCTCCTTGGCGAAGCCAAAGTCTGTCAGCTTCAGTATCGCATTCGGCTCCTTTGTCGTGTAGAGCAAGTTCTCTGGCTTCAGGTCGCGGTGCGCTATGTCCCGGCTGTGGAGATAGTAAATCGCCTCGCATATCTCGCGCATTATGTGAGCCGCTTCCCGTTCCGTAAAGGAGCTGTCCGCCTTCTCCTGGATGCGCTGGAACAGCTCACCGCCCTCCATGCTGCAAGTGAGAGAAGAAGTCGCGTGAATAGGGTGTGGGAAGGGGCTGACGGAGGAGGGTGACTGAATTGGCTAGGGGAAGAGACCGTTTGAGCGTCTCTCATAAGCGATTGCAGAGAGAAAGAGAGAGAAAAAGGGAAGGGGGAAGGTCCCTCTACTGACTGGAGCGGAAGTAATACCTATAGCAAAGAGAGTTGGTGGCAAAGAGAGAGGAAAGCAGAAATAGGGGGTATGGGGGAAGAAGAAGAAATCGTGAACTTAGTTCTCACATTCTTTCCTTTGCACTTTCTCTCTCTCTCTCTCTCTCTCTTTCCATCTTAGACCACTTGTCAGATCTAAATCTTATAAATCGAGGAAGAGAGAGCGAGAGAGAGTGGGAGAGAGGTCAGACTCTTTTCCTTGATCTCTCTTCCCCATATATAGGATTTTGATTTAAGAATGAATTATAGATGATGGAGAACTATGTCCTGAATTTCTCTTTCTCCATTTTATTCTCTACCTGTCTCTATCATAAGATAAGTTTTCGCTCTCTCTTCTCAGATTTCTGCTTTTCTTTCCGCCTCTCGCTTATTAGAGAGAGAGAAAGAGAGAGAGAGAGAGAACTGAACTTGTATCTCTCCCTCTCTTGTTATCTCTTTCCCTCCCAGCACGAGCTATCTCCTTTCGGCAATTCACTTTTCTTTTTCATCCCATTGTTCTATACGAATGCCACAGACAGAAATGTCTGCCAAGAGCGCTGGAGTCTTTGGCCTATTTATAGAGCCACAGCGAATGTCGGCCACAATTAGACGAATTAACGATAAATTAGTTGCGATGCGAAAGAAAAACTCGAAACTTATTTAATTATGGCGCGTATAATGCGGATTTATGGCGCCTTTATGGCAACTGAATGTAAACAAGGTGGCAACGCACTAATTGACTTTCGTGCGAAAAACCGAATTAATGAATAACGGTGTATAGCGTGTGCCATTCTGAGTTATTGTTTCCAATTGGAAATAGGCAAATGCGAGTTGGGTGGCGCGACTAGAACTCATTGTAGTATATCATCTAATTGGAAATCGATAGAATAAATTAGATGAGATTGGCGGCTAGGTGGAGTATATCCAATTGGAATACATTATTCTATTGGACTTACCCGAAGTCGGAATCATTATATACGTTCTAATTGGAAATTAATTGACTGTGCAAATAACTGAAACTAGTTGGGATCAAGTATCGAGTTGGACTATATTGTAGGGCTATTCAACAACATCCAATCAGAAACGGATTACATACGGTTAGGCCAGTGCCTAGTTGGATTTGTCATTATATCGTTATATCATGCTGCTTCATTGAACACCCATATTGGAAATGAGACTTGTTAATTGCCCGAATGGAGCCAGCTTTGTGCCTGATTGATATATGATACCGTTAATTGGAAACACCGAAACCCAATCTGATCACTCGTTCAGTCAGCCACCTCAGACACGTGTCCAATTGGAGCTAGCCCGTCTAATTACCATTCCATTACGACCAGCAGACACTTGCGTCCGCTGTACGTGTTCTCGTAGACGTCAATGATGTTCACGATGTGCTTGCAGCCGCTGGCCCGCCAGTGCAGGTCGACCTCGCGGCGCGCCTTCTCGTTGTCCAGCAGGACCTTGAGGGCGAAATTCTGTTTGGTGCGCCGATTGGTGCACTGCACCACTTTTCCATTGATGCCCAGCCCGAGCACCGTGTCCGATATTTCGTAGTCGTCCACCAAAGGCGTTGTCTTTGGTTGCCGTTGATTCTGCAGCGAAAGCATCTTGAAAGCTGGGGCCTAGCCTAGAGGGGAGAGAGCGAAAGAGACAGAGGAGAGAGTATTCAAATTAGAATTGTTATAGTTTATGCGGGTTTTACAGCTGCTTGAACGAGCTGAGCGAGTGGAGGGCAAAGAGAGAGAGAGAGAGAAAGGGAGTGTGAAAGTAAGATCGACAGTATTGCCGTGCTGCAGTTTGTTAGAGCCGACTAATTGGATAACATAAAGAATAACATTAACTGCTACAAGCGCCAGTGTTGCAGTGCTGCACTCAGCCATAAAAATAAGCTGCTGCTGCTGCTACACAGTAAAATCCTAGCTTTAACTGCCATGTGGTGCAATTGGTAGTAGATGTGCCCGTTGCTCCCGGCAAATTGTAGCTGCAGCCGGTGCCAATGTTGCCGTGCTGCACTGAGCAGTATGAATGAGCTCCCATTTCGCTAATACATAGAATAAAGCCTCGACTTAGAATAGTAAAATTAACTGAGAGTGTTGCCGTGCTGCAGTTGGCAGACAGGATGACACCAGCTAGAGGCAGCCTCCAGCTAGTGTTGCCATATCGTTAACGGAGTGTGAATTCAAGTACCTCGTCAACAGTGTTGCCGTGTCGCAATTAGCTTAAAGTGTCATTGCATCATAATGATCTTTTAAGAATAACAATTCAAGCAATGACGTCACACACACATACATACAGAGAGACACTTGAATTGTGGTATTATTTACAAATAAACAAATTGATGCTACGTTTCTGTTGTCATTTGGCTTTACGTGGGCGCAACAACTTGTTAACGAATAGACAGATATAAAGAGATGAAATTCTGTTCGGCAGAAATTGCGAAACTCGCAACAAAACCGAACTTCAAGTAATTCGGATTCGAATTGGAATTCGCATTGATTTAGCATTTCGAGTGGCTCTTTACATGGGCATAAATTATTCGAATTGGAATTGTACATTGAATTGGAATTGCTTTGCATATGCTAATTGGCATTACAGGGCTTTCCGTTTTGTTTATGAAATTTTATGCAGCAAACGTTCGTACGTGTGTGTGTGCGTGGTCAGCTGCTTTAGCCATGCGACTTGTACAGTTAGTATAAATGATAAATCTTGCACTAAATAATGAAGATCTGGAGGGGGGGGGGGGGAGAGCACAGCAAACATTACACAATGTTTAAACGGGGAGTGCTAATAGGAAAATGCACTTGCAGCCTGGCAACTCTGATTGGACATTGAGCTGCGTTGGCATGCCCACTTTATCCCACGTCTCTCGCTCTCTCTGTCACTCTCCCATGTGTGCGTGTGTGCTTGGCTGATGAAATGAGTTTATGTTATTTATTGTGATTAATATATAATGCACAAAGCCAATTGCGGTTTAATGAATGCATTTATGTAAAAGCAATATTGAAAATAATACAGCATATTGCACAGCTCTTCTTCTTAACTTYAGTTGCCCCCGCACACACACACAAACACACACAGACAGCCATTCACACACCTGGCGTGTGTGTCAAAGCCGCAGCTACATGCGTCATGTTTCCCCCCACTTAATGCGGTACTCTTTTTTTTAGTACCATTTTCACTTTGCGCTTATTTTTATCAGTCACACACTCACACACACACACGCAGAGATCTGTCTTCTCTTTGATTAAAAGTTCGGGTCAATGTCGCTGCACAGTGTTATATATATTTGAGATATTAGCACTTGTGTTCTCGTTCTTCGCTAACATACCTTTATTTGCTTTTTTGTTTTTTTTTTTTTTCGGCGTGCGATGTAATAACAATAAAAAAAAAAGAAAACAACACGCTCCGGGCACAACACGCTGCGAGCTTCGACTTAAAAGCAAAAACAATAACTGAAAATACCTTTTCAAGTGCGACCAGGTTGCACCAGGCGCATAATACCAAATACAAACACATTCAGTGTGGCTGCCAAGCGTTCCTTTGGTCGCAATATTGTGAATGGGGCGCAATATTGTAAAAGATGACACAAGACATTATTTTTGTTCAATAAATTCAATATCAAATTATATATATAAATTGTGTATATATCTGACAGCTTGAGTTTCATATATTGAATTATCCAAACGAATATATGCAATGCCTACTCCGTGCTGTTCGAAGTTGTCCATAGCACGCGCATAACAGCTGGTCACACCTAAAGTGTTCCTTGCATTTAAGCAGCATCTGGTAGCGCCAAGGCGCCATCATTGAAACGCGCACTACTGTGAATGGAAGATAAATATCTATTCAATGATTCGAAGAAATAAAATCGCTGACTGCAACATAAGTGTATGTATATTTAATTTAGAGCAATAAAAAAAAAGAACCTAAATAATGTCTTTAGCGGCACATCTACAAGGTGAGTAACATAGGTAAACACACAATACACCATACAATTTATAATTATGGATAAAGGACTGTTTAAACATACTGTTCACAAAACATGCATTTGCTTAGGTCTATATTGTTCACAATTGTGCATTTGGACATGGCGAAAGCTATGCCCAACAAGTCCTTATTTTGAGTATTGCACTAATGGCTCACATATTTAACTTTTTTTTTTTCATTTTTAACTTAAACTTTATTTTCCCCAGTTTCGCTTTCTGTCGGGCGTAAGCTTTTCTTTTTGCTCACTTTTTTTTTTTTTTACTTAGAGTTAAAATTGAAACTAGCCTGGGCTTGGGAAGGAGAAAATTATTGTATAGTGCTAAATTGTTAGTGAATGATCTGGGTGTTATTATAAGACTTGGGATTGCATTGTTTTTCCATTTTTTTTGCTTCATTTCCTTTATGGTTTTTTCTTTCTGTTTTGTACACAAGTTAGGGACATGAATTTTTTGTTTCAAAATATCAATTGGACAAAGTGTTTGGTAATTTCAGATAAGCTTAGAATTTTCATCATATTTGTCTCCAATTTTTTCTTTGTTTCATTATCCTCCTCCTGAAAGGGGGGTTTTCCATATTTCCTTTCTATTTTCACGTTGATCTTTCAATTTTGAAAATTTGCACGCAACCATGCCACTAGCTCCATGCAAGCGCACACATATATCGATACACACACACACACACACACTCTCACGCACACACACACACGCACTATGGAGGAAGTGTATTAGTGATCGATTTGCTTTCAACTCTCTCCAGCTGGTTGCTTCGATTCCCTTCGAGTAGTTTTAATGGTATGCAGTGGGTAGTGGTCCTTGATCGTGCGCGTGTTGGGTTTTATGTGCGTCTTCCTCCTCCTTCGTGACCTTTTCGCTTTACTCCCTACTTCTTTTTCGATTTTTGCAGATTGTTGCTGTGGTTGTTTTGTTTTTTTGATGCTGTTGTTGTTGCTGCTGGGTTTTTGATTAATATTTGTGTCTGGGGATCAGTCGCTGTGGTCGCTCTTATGCGGATAAGCCGAGTGTCTTGCGTACCAATCGCTGTGCGATCCGATTGAACTCGTCCCTTCGCTCCCGCCACATGATAGCCGCATCCACATTGGCGCCACTCTCGTCGTTCGGTTCTAAGGGAAGGCAGACGATTAGTCAAATGGACAAGTATAAAAGCATATATATATATGCATATAGATTATAGGTCTATAGGTGTCTTTACCCGCCAGCATGCTGACCACACTCAGGAGTATCTTCTCAACACTCTGAACAGGGCTCCAGCGCTCGGCGGAGAGCTCGTAGCCCATGGGATCATCGCCAGGGGCGTGAAGTATTGATATGCAGACGCGGCCATCGGCAAAGATGTTTGGATGAAACATATCACAAGTGAATTTCATTTTAGGTGGACTTAGTGGATAGTCGGGTGGAAAGACCAAACGGGCGGGAAACACGCCGCCCTCGAAGCAGGTGCCCTCGGGTCCGCTACAATATACAGTTAGATTAGATATGCATAATGGCACACATACATCTGCACACACACACACACATACACATACACACATGTATGTGTATGCACATGATGTGACAACTCACGCAATTAGCGCCTCCCATTCAAAGAAATTGTCCTCGCTGATGGGTCCAGCGGCAATGCCCTCCGGCGGGTCCAATGTTAACTCTATATGATGCAGTAGGGCGAGCGAATGTGTGTGAGTTCGTGTGTGTGTGTATGAGAGAGAGGGAGAGATAGAAAGATAGGGGAACAGTTATGGCGGTGGATTGTTTTTGTTGTTGATGAAAGTTCATCCGAACGCAGCTCGCAAACATGCATCTTTTTAGCACCTGCCCAAAGTCCCGTTCACTTACGTTTGTATTCCGCCATCAGGCGACGCAGCGCCGAGCCAGCCATTTGTTGTCCACTTTAATTTTAAATTGCAGCTCGAGGTCAAGTTAAGCGAGAAAAACACCACGTTGGTATTTGCGAGCGTGTGGCATAAAGTTGCAAAGTGTTTATTTTTATATATGTATATAATTTGCTTGCATATATATATACATATGCATATATGTACATACATACATATGCATATATAT